ATGGCAGGCAGTGTCTGTTGAACCAATCAGATTCGAGCTGAAGTAAGAGGTTTCCTGCTGGTGGATAGGTGACAGTTCCTGGTTTCCTGAGCAGGGTGAAGCCTTGACCCGTGTATTAGTGTCCAGTTGCTGTTGTAACAAATTAGCACAAATCTAGTGGCTTCAAACAACACAAATGTGTTATCTGATAGTCCTGGAGGTCAGAAGTTCAAAATCAGCCTCACTGGGTTAAAGCCAAGGTGCTGGCTAGGGCTATGCTCCTTCTGGAGGCTCGAAGGGAAAAGCCATTCCTTGCCTTTTCTGGCTTCTAGAGGCTGCCTGTGTTCCCTAGCTCATGGCCCCTTCTCCATCTTCCAAGCCAATGGCATAGCATCTTCTACTCTCTTCCTGCCTTTGACCGCCCCCTACCTCCCTCTTTTACTTATAAATGAAATCACTTTCACTCGTGATGACATCAAGCCCACCTCCATAATCCAGCATCATCTCCCCATCTCAAGATTCTTACCTCAACCCCATCTGCAAAGTCCCCTTTACCATGTAAGGGAACATATTTGCAGGTTCCAGGGACTAGGATGTGGACATCTTTGGGGACCATCATTCTGCCGACTGCACGGCTCTGGGGTACAGCCCATGTTTTGGTCTGGCGGAGCCCGGGCAGCCCCTGCCTCTTGCTGACCTGTGGTCCCTCAGGAGCACACAGGAGCCAGGCCCCCTCCACTGCCTCCCAAAGCCAGCCTTTCCTGCCCAGACACCCACACTTCAGGGGGGACTTGACCCCTGTCTCACACGTTCAAGATGACCTGGAGGAGGAAAGGGAGGGAAGCAAAGCAGACCACATCTGGGGTCTCTCTCAGCGTCCACAACACACCGCTCCCCTCCTTCCAGCTTCTTAAACCTCCTGGTGGTGAAAGCTCCAAGGCTGGAGACGAGTGAGAATCCCACTGCCAAGAAGCCAGGCCCTCCTGGAACTCGGCTTTCTGGAATTTGAGTTCCTTAGTTTCCTGGTGTGCTAGGTGCCAGGTAATCCCTGAACTGTTCTGCAGCTCAGGGAGAACAGAAAAGGGGTCTCTTGGTACTTTCCAACCACGTGTTCCGACACCAGAGTAGCCCACATGAAGGAGAGGTTGCTTACACTCGGAGGGATCAGGACACTTTATCGTCACATTATTACTACCGTAGTCATCACCATTATTATTGTCGTGGTGGTCATCATCATTCGGGCCTCATATTTGATGCTTTGCAGCCTACAAGGGGATTCTACAGGTATAATCTCCTTCAAGCTTCACCATGACTCTTTGTAATAACTGCCGTTATGCCCATTCTACAGACGGACAAACTGAGGCTCAGAGAAGTTATCTGACTTGCCCAGAATCACAGTTTGGTGACCCCAGGACCCAAGCCCAGGCTCCCTAACACCAGGCCCATTCTCTTTATGGTCACAGCACGCTGGGTAAAAGAGGCCTGACCCTGAGCTGGGCCTGGAAGAAGAGCCATGTATAAACAGACTGGCTCCTATCGCCGTATGAATGTAGGCAAGTCACTTCACTTCTCTTCACCTCTGTTTGCCCATCTGTACAATGGGCACAAGACAGCCATCCCTCCTCCCAGGCATATTGTCAGGATCAGGGTACCTAAAGCCCAGCACAGCCCACAGATCACAGGTGTGGCTGACAGTGAAGGGTCAGATCTGGCATCAGGGGCTTACTCTGCAGCTCCAGCGTCGGTGGGAGATTGGGGCTGAGACGAAGATGCTCGGGTTTTCCATGGCACATAGAGCTTCCTCAGCACGTGCAGAGAAGCACACAGGAAGGAATGGCATGAGGCCCAACGGCAGTCTTAGGAAGCAGTTCCCACACGTGTGTGTAGTACAAGGGGGCTGCCAGGGGGAAGGGGCATGGAGGGGCCACCAGGTATCTGAGAAATCAGGTTTGCTGAGTGTATTGCTTTCCTGTGGCTGCCAAAGCAAATTACTACAAGGCACTTAAATATGTATATTTAATTATATATACATGTATGTATATGTCTATACACAAACACACACCAATGAATTGGTTATATTATATTGATGGAGTTATAAAGTAGTTCTAATCAAAAGCTATTTTCAAAATAATTATATATTTAACTGTATATATTTATGTGTATACACACACACACACACACACACCAACTAATTGGTTATATTACATTGATGGAGTTATAAAGTAACTCTAGTCAAAAATATTTTTTCCAAAAAAGTCTAAATATATTCATCCATCTACATATATTAAAGCAAAATGAAAGATTTTCTTTATGTTAATTAACTGAACATTGAAAAATAACATAAGCAAAATAATTAGTTTGGGTACATATGCAAGTGCTACAGTTAGCTTCTTGGGCTTGTACCTGACTCTCATATGTCTTTGGCATTTTCCAGAGAATGTATTTTTCTCTCAATATGGTCTTATTATTTTTAATGTTTCCATATAACTGCCTGAATTTTTTTTCCTTCAAATTTTATGGTTAATAAATTTAAATTAGCACCTTCAATTGACTCTTCTCTTGGACCAGAAAATATTTAATGAAGAAAATGTTCTCTCTGCAGGTGTTGAGGTACCTGATAAACTCTGAGCAAATTCTGCCAAGCAGAGGCTATTCTCAAGTCTAATTCTTTGCATATGGAATTATGTAAATATTTCAGCCCAGATATTTTCACAGGTGCTGTCTTTTTGCCTTAGTTCGAGTTCCTTCAACAAATATTTTCACCACATTAAACTCTTCAGATAAGTTGTAGCTATTTATAAGTTTTGATTGCTTTGTCAAATTTAGATGTTGCAGATCAGGGGCTGTCCCAATTTCATCTCAATTTTGTAAAAATATGAACTTCTCCAATTGAAAAGATGCTTCCCACAAATTGAGACATTCCAAAGCTCATTATAAAATTCAAAAATTAAATCTTGTGCACCATTTGACCTCTCATCGCCTAGTTTGATCATTTTCTCCCTTGCCTTTTTAGCTATAAATTTCAATTATTTTCTGCATAAAATTTTGTTTTCAATAACTACAATCTGCTAAAAGCTCTAAAAGCTGCTGTTTTAGAGCTTCCCTGGTGGTGCAATGGTTGAGAGTCCGCCTGCCGATGCAGGGGATACGGGTTCGTGCCCCGGTCCAGGAAGATCCCACATGCCGCGGAGCGGCTGGGCCCGTGAGCCACGGCCACTGAGCCTGCGCGTCCGGAGCCTGTGCTCCGCAACGGGAGAGGCCACAACAGTGAGAGGCCCGCATACCGCAAAAAAAAAAAAAAAAAAAAAAAAAAAAATGCTGTTTTAGTGCTCCACTCATTTAATACTTGTTCGAAGATTCCTCATTGATTTGGAACAAAATTCAACAAAAATTCTCAACTCTGCTGCAACAAATAGTTGAATAACATTTTACGGCACTTAGTGTCTTCTAAAATTGATTTATGATGGGCAGCAGAGAAAGAAAATGCATGCTGGAGTTGTTTTAATTCCTCATCAAGGGAATTCCCTGGCGGTCCAGTGTGTAGGACTCTGTGCTTTAATTGCCGAGGGCATGGGTTTGATCCCTGGTTGGGGAACTTCACAAAGATTTCACAAGCCTCACGGCATGGCCAAAATAAATTCCTCATCAACTTCATCACAAAAGTTCGTAGTTCAGTAATTCTGAACTACAAATCTTATGTTTTAGGATTTTGTAAATCTTGTCAAATATAACCTCCATATCAATTGGTAAAATATTGAAACTTGTTTATATGCAATTACAAATTGTGTGTGCACCATGAACTGTTCAAAATACATTTCTGCCTTATCGGTCTCTTATTTTAGCAAGGATATTATTGTTAGCATGACACTGGGCCCCACCAAAATGTGTGTGATAATCAGAAAAATACAACTTTCTCTCCAGTGTGAACAGTTTAAACTGAATGTAAAATAGCATATTCACAAAATGTCCATTGCTTCACTTTGCCAGAGTGAACTTTCAAAAGTTTTGCTTTGATTCCATGAACTGGATAAAAAAAATTGAATCATGATTGGAATTGACTGATTTTTCTATTTGAAGACTCTGAGGATACTGGTATCAAACTGGCACCATTTCACTGTCCGTGGATTCCTCATGGAGCCGTCACATTAATCAGCCATCACTTCCATTTTTGTGTGTGCACAAGATAACCTGACACTAAAAATGAGCTGAGTTAACTTTAAGAACAGTGGTTTGCTCTAAGTGAAAAGTCACAGCGTCTTCTGCAGTAATGTGGGTGAAATCAACGTCTTAGGGCTGATCTTTGAAAAATACCAACGTCTGAAGTAGGAGCTTTGTGTTAGGTTTCCTTGTGGTCACGGAAAGCGCTACAGTCCCCATCACGATATAAACATCAACATACATTTTGTGCAAGTTACACGTTCATCATTGACTTCCCTGAGAGACAGAAGTTCAGGACTTAAATTTTCATTAAACGTTCTTTTTTTGCTCATTGTTGCCAGAAGGACTCATTGCAAAACTGAAAAGTATTGCCAAATAACAAAATAAACACTTCATTGTGGATTTATGCCCTGAAATCAATGACAAAAGAAGAGGGTCCTTTCTCTTCCATACGCTCTGGGTCAGAACCCTGTAAGCCACGGATACGTCATAGCCTCCTAACCCATCATTTCCCGTGTCCTCTGCTGACCTGTCAACTGGCAGCCCAGCAACTGATTCCCTTCTCTGCCTGCACTCTCCCTTGGTGATTTCATCCAATCCTGTGGCTTTAAATACCAAATACCATCCATATGATTACAACTCCCAATGATGTATCACTGTCTCAGACGTGGTGTCTCAACACCAGTGCTGTGTAGCCAACTGCCCCAGTACCCCCAACTGATGTCCGACAGACAGCTCAGCCTTCACATGTCCAGACGTGAAACCCCCGTCTTCCCCACCAAGAAACCTGCTCCATCTTCACTCTGTCATCTCCAGTTCAGTTGACTGCAGCTTCCTATTTCCAGGTGCTCAGGCCAAAAATCTAAGCATCATGCAATTCCTCTTTTGTCATAACCCATATCCGATTGGAAATCATAGAGATTCTACCTTCAGACTATACCTAGAGCCTGATCACAGCTCACCGCTTCCATGGCTGCCCCTCCCCGGCTAACAGGTTTATTCAGTATACTTGTCATTGCCTCTCTCCTCCCACAAGGCTAGAAGCACCTTGAGGGCAGGGGGTTTTGCCTGTTTGATTCACTGCTATGTCCCAAACACCTAGAACAGTGCCTAGCACATAGTGTGTGCTCAGTACATACTTGTCCAGTGGATGAATGAGTGGAGGGACCCATGGATTTTACCCAATGTGAACGGCACAGTGTGTGGGTTACAGTGTCACAGTGAGAAGGTCATCACGTCCTCCGCAGATGAGGAAAGTCGGGCTCAGAGACACAAAGTGATTGCCTAAGACTGCAGAGCCAAATAGACTTTCCCGAGATCAGCTCTCTTACGCAATATCTTGTGTTGGATACTATGAGTTTTGCCCAGTTGAAGGGAAGGACTCTTAGGCATCACTAAGGATAACGATGATGATAACAGTAGTTAACGGGTAGCAAGTGCCTACAAAGAGCCAGGAACCCTTTGAAGCACTTTGCATATATTAACTCATCCAGGTGGGAGGAGGAGTTTTAGGTGTGGAGCGCCAGAAACCCCACACCTTCTACTACTGCCATCACCTCCTCCACCCTACTGGTCCCCGTCCCAGTGGATCAGCATCCCTGAGGTCCGGGCCTCTTCCTTGCTTCATTCCATCTTCGGTCATCGACCACTGTCTCCATGTCTGCCTCCCTCTAGATGGTGAGCACCTTCAGGGGGCTGGGCCCTGTTCCCTGTATCTCCAGCACCTGGCAAAGTACTGGCACAAAGTAGGTGCTCCTTAAATCAAACACAAACACCTACTTTGTGCCAGTACTCTGTGTAATGAAACACTGCTAATAATAATGGTATGGTTGTAAAAAGACTCATCCTCCCCTTCCACTGAGTGCTTCCTCTAAGCCAGGCGACCAGGCCAAGCTCTCCACAGATACACTCACCAGTCCTTGCCACAATCCCACAAGAGGGATACAATTAGATCCAATGTTCAAAAAGGAAAATAAAAGTCAGTGGGTCTAAGTGGCCCACAACAAGTAGTTACGTCAAGATGTGAACTTGGGTTTCAAAAGCCCTGGTCCTTTCCTTTATACCCGGGGTCGGCAAACTTTTCCTCTAAGGGAATGGGGGGTAAGTATTTTCAGTTTTGCAGGCCAAAGGGCCACTGTTGCAACCACTCAACTCTGCTGTTGTAACACAAAAGGTAAATGAATGGATGCGGCTGTGTGCCAATAAAACTTTATTTTCCAAAACTGGGGACATGCTGGATGGGCTGCGGGCTAGAATTGGCCGCCTCCCATGTGATGCTCTGTGATGTTCATTGCAGGTCACCGTGGATGGCCTCCCGGACCCTCCTGGAGTTCCAGTCCTCCAACCAGAGCCAGCTCCCACCTCCAAATGCCACGTCCTGCGACAGCGCTCGGGAAGCCTGGGACCTGCTGCATAGAGTCTTACCCACATTTATCATCACCATCTGCTTCTGTGGGCTGCTGGGAAACCTCTTTGTGCTGTCCGTCTTTCTCTTGGCCCGACGGCGTCTGAACGCGGCAGAAATCTATCTGGCCAACTTGGCGGCTTCCGACCTGGTGTTCGTCTTGGGCTTGCCCTTCTGGGCAGAGAACATCTGGAAGGAATTCAACTGGCCTTTCGGAGCCCTCCTCTGCCGCGTGGTCAACGGTGTCATCAAGGCCAATCTCTTCATCAGCATCTTCCTGGTGGTGGCCATCAGCCAGGACCGCTACTGCGTGCTGGTGCACCCCATGGCCAGCCGGAGGCGGCGGCGACGGCGGTGGGCTCAGGCCACCTGCGTGCTCATCTGGGCCGTGGGGGGCCTCCTAAGTATCCCCACGTTCCTGCTGCGCTCCGTCAAAGCTGTCCCGGAACTGAACATCTCCGCCTGTGTGTTGCTGTACCCCAGCAAGGCCTGGGCCTTTGCAAGGATGGTGGAGTTAAACGTGCTGGGGTTTCTCCTCCCACTGATTGCGACTGTCTTCTTCAACTATCACATCCTGGCAGCCCTGCGAGGGCGGGGGGAGGTCAGCAAGACAAGGCACGGGGAGGCCACGGATGGCAAAACCACGGCCCTGATCCTCGTGCTTGTGGCTGCCTTCCTGCTCTGCTGGACCCCCTACCACTTCTTTGCTTTCCTGGAATTCCTGTTCGAGGTGGGGGCTGTCAGAGGCTGCTTCTGGGAGAATTTCACCGACCTGGGCCTGCAATGGGCCAACTTCTTTGCTTTCATCAACAGCTGCCTAAATCCAGTGATTTATGTCTTTTTGGGCCGGCTTTTCAGAACCAAGGTCTGGGAACTTTATAAACGATGCATCCCTAGACGACTGACTCCAATATCCACGTCCCACAGAAAAGAAATCCGTCAACTTTTCTGGCGGAATTAAAACAGCAGGGAGGGAATTCCCTGGTGGCACAGTGGTTTAGAATCCGCCTGCCAATGCAGGGGACATGGGTTCGAGCCCTGGTCTGGGAAGATCCCACATGCCACGGAGCAACTAAGCCCGTGCGCCACAACTACTGAGCCTGCACTCTGGAGCCGGAGAGCCACAACTACTGAAGCCCACATGCCACAACTACTGAAGCCCGCGCACCTAGAGCCCGTGCTCCGCAACAAGAGAAGCCACCGCAATGAGAAGCCCGCGCACTGCAACGAAGAGTAGCCCTCGCTCGCTGCAACTAGAGAAAGCCTGCGTGCAGCAACCAAGAGCCAATGCAGCCAAAAATAAATAAATAAAATAAATAAATTTATTTTAAAAAAAAAGCATCAGGGAGCCAAGAAGTGTGACTTCCTCAGCAACTGTTACTGACGTAATAAATACTACTGTAACAAGCTGAATGATGGTCCCCCAAGATCACCAGGACCTAGTCCCTGGAACCTGTAAATGTTTATAGGGTAATGGGGACTTTGCAGATGTAATTAAGCGAAGGACCTTGAGATGGGAAATTATCCTGGGTTATCTGGGTGACCCAATGTCATCACAAGGGTCTTTATAAAGAGGAGGCAGAAGTGTCAGAGACAGAGAAGGCTGGAGGGATACAATGAAGGGGCCACAGGTCAAGAATTGCAGGTCCCCTGTTGAGATGTGAAATGGCAAAGAAATGAATCCTCCCTGGAGCCTCCTTCTGGAACCAGCCCTGCTGACATCTTGATTTCAGCCCAGTGATATTTTGGATGCCTGGTCTCCAGAACCAGAAGATAATAAATCTGTGTTGTTTTTAAGTTACCAAGTTTATGGTTAATTTGTCACAGCGATAGGAAACAAGTTTCCAGTAAGCATCCCTTGTTACGTTTCCACTTGCCTGCCCATCCAAAATGTTCTAAGTTAACTGCTAGGACTAGAGAGATGACATAGCTAGAGAGCCTATCCACAAGGAACTTGCATAGATCGAGATAATTATAGTATAAAAAAAATGAGAAATCGCATGTGCAAGACACAGACCCAGTACCTGGAGCATTCAGAGGGAAAGGGGATGATCTTCTACTAGGGTTATCAAAAAAGAGGCTGTGGATTCTACCCAGAAGATGGCAGAAGAGTAAGACGCGGAGATCACCTTCCTCCCCACAGATACATCAGAAATACATCTACACGTGGATCAACTCCTACAGAACACCTACTGAACGCTGGCAGAAGACCTCAGACCTCCCAAAAGGCAAGAAACTCCCCACGTACCTGGGTAGTGCCAAGGAAAAAAGAATAAACAGAGACAAAAGAATAGGTACGGGACCTGCGCCTCGGGGAGAGAGCCATGAAGGAGGAAAGGATTCCACACAGTAAGAAGCCCCTTCACGGGCGGAGACTGTGGGTGGCGGACGGGGGAAGCTTCGGCGCCGCGGGGGACAGCGCAGCAGCAGGGGCGCGGAGGGCAAAGCGGAGAGATTCCCGCACAGAGCATCGGTGCCGACCGGCGCTCACCAGCCCGAGAGGCTCGTGTGCTCCCCCGCCGGGGCGGGCGGGGCTGCGAGCTGAGGCTCGGTTTCGGTTTCGGTCGGAGCTCAGGGAGAGGACTGGGGTTGGCGGCTTGAACATAGCCCGAAGGGGTTAGTGCGCCACGGCTAGCCGGGAGGGAGTCCGGGGAAAAGTCTGGACCTACCCAAGAGGCAAGAGACCTTTTCTTGCCTCTGTGTTTCCTGGTGCGCGAGGAGAGGGGTTTTAAGAGCGCTGCCTAAAGGAGCTCCAGAGACGGGCGCGAGCCGCGGCTAAAAGCTCGGAAACCAGAGACGGGCGGGAGACGCTAAGGCTGCTGCTGCCGCCACCAAGGGGCCTGTGTGCGAGCACAGGTCACTATCCCCACCCCTCTTCCGGGGAGCCTGTGCAGCCCGCCACTGCCAGGTTCCCGGGATCCAGGGACAACTCCCCTGGGAGAACGCACGGCACGCCTCAGGCTGCTGCAACGTCACGCCGACTTCTGCCGCCGCAGGCCCGCCCCGCACTCCGTGCCCCTCCCTGCCCCCGGCCTGAGTGCGCCAGAGCCCCCGAGTCAGCGGCTCCTTTAACCCCGTCCTGTCTGAGCAAAAAACAGACGCCCTCTGGCGACCTACACGCAGAGGCGGGGCCAAATCCAAAGCTGAGCCCCGAGAGCTGTGCGAACAAAGAAGAGAAAGGGCAATCTCTCCCAGCAGCCTCAGGAGCAGCAGAGTAAAGCTCCACAATCAACTTGATGTACCTGCATCTGTGGAATATACGAATAGACAGCAAATCATCCCAATTTGAGGAGGTGGACTTTGAGAGCAAGATTTATTATTTTTTTCTCCTTTTTCTCTTTTTATGAGTGTGTATGCATATGCTTCTGTGTGAGATTTTGTCTGTATAGCTTTGCTTTCACCATTTGTCCTAGGGTTCTGTCCGTCCGTTTTTATTTTTTTTCTTAATAATTATATTTTTATTTTAATAACTTTATTTTATTTAACCTTATTTTATTTTATTTTATCCCCTTTCTTTCTTTCTTTCTTTCTTTCTTTCTTTCTTTCTTTCTTTCTTTCTTTCTTATCCTTCCTTCCTTCCTTCCTTTCTTTCTACTTTCTCTCCCTTTTATTCTGAGCCGTGTGGATGAAAGGCTCTTGGTGCTGCAGCCAGGAGTCAGTGCTGTACCTCTGAGGTGGGACAGCTAACTTCAGGACACTGGTCCACAAGAGACCTCCCAGCTCTACATAATATCAAACGGTGAAAATCTCCCAGAGATCTCCATCTCAACACCAGCACCCAGCTTCACTCAACGACCAGCAAGCTACAGTGCTGGACACCCTATATGCCAAACAACTAGCAAGACAGGAACACAACCCCACCCATTAGCACAGAGGCTGCCTAAAATCATAATAAGTCCACAGACACCCCAAAACACACCACCAGACGTGGACCTGCCCACCAGAAAGACAAGATCCAGCCTCATCCACCAGAACACAGGCACTAGTCCCCTACACCAGGAAGCCTACACAACCCACTGAACCAACTTTAGCCACTGGGGACAGACACCAAAAACAACGGGAACTACGAACGTGCAGCCTGCAAAAAGGAGACTCCAAACACAGTAAGATAAGCAAAATGAGAAGACAGAAAAACACACAGCAGATGAAGGAGCAAGATAAAAACCCACCAGATCCAACAAATGAAGAGGAAATAGGCAGTCTACCTGAAAAAGAATTCAGAATAATGATAGTAAAGATGATCCAAAATCTTGGAAACAGAATGGAGAAAATGCAAGAAATGTTTAATAAGGACCTAGAAGAACTAAAGATGAAACAATCAACGATGAACAACGCAATAAATGAAATTAAAAATACTCTAGATGGGATCAAGAGCAGAATAACTGAGGCAGAAGAACGGATAAGTGACCTGGAAGATAAAGTAGTGGAAATAACTACTGCAGAGCAGAATAAAGGGAAAAGAATGAAAAGAACTGAGGACAGTCTCAGAGACCTCTGGGACAACATTAAACGCACCAACATTCGAATTATAGGGGTTCCAGTAGAAGAAGAGAAAAAGAAAGGGACTGAGAAAATATTGGAAGAGATTATAGTTGAAAACTTCCCTAATATGGGAAAGGAAATAGTTAATCAAGTCCAGGAAGCACAGAGACTCCCATATAGGATAAATCCAAGGAGACACACGCTGAGGCACATATTAATCAAGCTGTCAAAAATTAAGTACAAAGAAAACGTGTTAAAAAGCAGCAAGGGAAAAACAACAAATAACACACAAGGGAATCCCCATAAGGTTAACAGCTGATCTTTCAGCAGAAATTCTGCAAGCCAGAAGGGAGTGGCAGGACATATTTAAAGTGATGAAGGAGAAAAGCCTACAACCAAGATTACTCTACCCAGCAAGGATCTCATTCAGATTTGATGGAGAAATTAAAACTTTTACAGACAAGCAAAAGCTGAGGGAGTTAAGCACCACCAAACCAGCTTTACAACTATAGCTAAAGGATCTTCTCTAGGCAAGAAAAACAAGAAAGGAAAGGACCTACAATAACAAACCCAAAACAATTAAGAAAATGGGAATAGGAACATACATATCGATAATTACCTTAAATGTAAATGGCCTAAATGCTCCCACCAAAAGACACAGACTGGCTGAATGGATACAAAAACAAGAGTCATATATATGCTGTCTACAAGAGACGCACTTCAGACCTAGAGACACATACAGACTGAAAGTGAGGGGATGGAAAAAGATATTCCATGCAAATGGAAACCAAAAGAAAGCTGGAGTAGCAATTCTCATATCAGACAAAATAGACTTTAAAATAAGGACTATCAGAAGAGACAAAGAAGGACACTACATAATGATCAAGGGATCAATCCAAGAAGAAGATATAACAATTGTAAATATTTATGCACCCAACATAGGAGCACCTCAATACATAAGGCAAAAACTAGCAGCCATAAAAGGGGAAATCGACAGTAACACATTCATAGTAGGGGACTTCAACACCCCACTTTCACCAATGGACAGATCATCCAAAATGAAAATAAATAAGGAAACACAAGCTTTAAATGATACATTAAACAGGATGGACTTAATTGATATTTATAGGACACTCCATCCAAAAACAACAGAATACACATTTTTCTCAAGTGCTCATGGAACATTCTCCAGGATAGATCATATCTTGGGTCACAAATCAAGCCTTGGTAAATTTAAGAAAATTGAAATTATATCAAGTATCTTTTCCGACCACAACGCCATGAGATTAGATATCAATTATAGGAAAAGAGCAGTAAAAAATACAAACACATGGAGGCTAAGCAATACACTACTTATTAACGAAGTGATCACTGAAGAAATCAAAGAGGAAATCAGAAAATACCTAGAAAAAAATGACAATGGAGACACGACAACCCAAAACCTATGGAATGCAGCAAAAGCAGTTCTAAGAGGGAATT